GTTGGTGTGGTTGGTGGGGGTGTGGTGGGGTTGGTGTGGTTATGGGGGTGGGGTGGGTTGGTGTGGTTAGTGGGGGTGGGTAGTGTTGGTGTGGTTGGTGGTGGTGGGTTAGGGTTGTCGGCAGGAGCCCCGTCATTATGTGATAAGGACAGATCTGTGAAAACGGAAGTGGGTAAAGGTGGTACCGGTAGGGTAGGAATTTTGGGAATTTCGGACAAGGTAGCATTCTTCACTGAGCGTGATTCGACTGAATTTACGTTGCGCTGTTTGTTGGTTTGCAGCAGGCTATACCGTATTGGCGCCTAGGTGTGTGATTTTATCTTCTTAATAATGCAGTTCGTGTGAGAAGAATGCGTGAACGAAATAGGTGGGATGGAGAGGGTATTAAAATGTCCTCGATTACTAGGGCAACAGCTTTTACTGTGTGCGAAGCATACTGCAGATAGCGAAGAAGGCATGACAGGGTGGAGGGTGTGGAGGGGGCGGGGCCGGCAGTTGTTTCCCGTCCAGGGAGCAGGCGCTTTCAGTTGGTATGAACTATTCCGCGAAGCCTTTGCTTAACTAATGGCCGTACGCCTCCGTGAGCGCGTGAGCGGTCGTCGCTACTCGCGTGGGCAGACGTTTTTCAAAAATGAGAGAACCGCACTCGAATCGTGGATGGTCAATCAGCGGAGTTGTCGTGCGGAACGGCTGTGTGCACAGGGATGGATGTGCGCGCCACCGAGAGTTAGCTGTAGTGGAAGATGACACGTCGCGCGAAGCCACGAGTTTTAGAGTAGATCCCAATTTGCTGATGCTGTTGAAGGAGGCAGAGAGAGAGAGAGAGAGCGAGAGAGAGAGAGAGAGAGAGAGAGCATAAGAGAGAAAGAGAGAGAAACCGAGCGAAAGCGAGGCAGGAAAAAGGATAGGGAGAGAGAGATATGGGGGAGGGGAGAGGGAAAGGGAGACTGATCGGTGCATTTTGTTTAGATTACGGTAACAATAAGTTAGCTAATAACTTTGTATCAAAAGTACATGCTTACTAATAATGATATACTTTGCTTGTATTATAATTATGAGTGCACACGTGATGTTTTCCCGCGAGTGTAAAGAATAAATAGGTGCGCTATTGTTGCGATTTCATTGCTTGCTATCACTAAAAAGCGCTATGTACAGTATATGTCTTCGTTATATTGTCCCGTAATGCCTTGTTTACTTATGGGGGCTAACATTTCTGTTCCAGTCGGGGAAACCACTTACCAGTAAAGTGAGTACCATGCTCGCGGCCGCCTAGTTGGTCATGTACCTGCTGTGTCCACTGTAGATGTAGCTGCTGCATTTATAGTAGTCAATGTTACACGTAGACGCATCATCTAGAGTAGAGAGACGAAATAGCATCTAATGTATGTAGTCGTGTTTGCACTGTGTGAGGTGTGTTGTTCGGCTTTTCGCTCGCTCGCTTGCGTCGAGTCCCCCGAGGTGATAACCACCCTGCTGTACCTCGCGTGTGCAGTTCTGGCTGTATGCCCCTATTGATTATGCGTGCCGGCAGCGGCAAAGGGGAGTGCACGCGGCGGCGGGAGCAGCCGCTCATTGATTGAAGCCGGCAGGGTGGGGGGATGGATTTATTGAATGGAATCGCCACTTGTTAGCAATTCCATTTCGGTGGGCGAGCACGCTGTCGTGTGGTGGAGAGGCGGTGGAGGAATGGAGAGGGGGGAGGGTGTTGTAAAAATGCGAAACTCAACGGCGAGATGTCGCCGGCGATTCGGGTCGCGCTCGTGAACGGCGCGTTTCTTATGTTTCAGGCGACGAGGTCATCGAGTGGAATGGCCGCTCGCTGAAGGACGCGACGTTCGAGGAGGTGTACGACATCATCTTTGAGTCGAAGCACGAGCCGCAGGTGGAGCTGGTCGTGCAGCGAAATCTAGACATAGGGCAAGTATGGCAGAATTCGATCGATTCGCATTCGTCTAGTCTCGAAGTGTATATATAAGGGGGGAAGTGTGCCGCTGACAGCAGGCATTATGACGGACTTCCATACACCCGCACGGGAGCAGCCTGGAAAGCATTTAGCTGTGACTGCAAGTGGTTTGGGGGCATTGAGACGCGGGCTTCAGATGAGAGAGACGCTCTTTTCACATTTTACGCATGAATAAGGTTACCGGTATGCTTGATCTTACACAAGGACCGCAAAGCACACGTACGCACTGTCAATGTGGAGCACTCCCCCCTTTACACGCACACGTGCCCAGATGCAATATGTCATTCTCACCTTACAGAAATAACGTGAGAAACGTGAGGACTTCCCATCTGGAAACTGAGTAATCGTGACGCCATCAGTGCTATTTGTTTAACCAGTAGAATTGTATTGTTGTCATATAGTAAGGCCCGGTCAAGATAGGGGGTTATTGCTGCGTGTTCCACTACCTCCATGCACAGGGTACCTGTCCATATTCATGGGTGCCGCTTCGAAATGAATTGTATCGGAATTAATTTATATGTTCTATACCGATCACTCCTGATAATATCAGTACTCTGTTCCAGTCTCTATCTCTTACCTGTTTCTCCCATTCACTGTCTTACTCTCCCTCTCTCAGGCATATGCTCCGGCCCACGTCTTTTTTTCGTTTTCCTCTCCTCCACGCTTACATTTCCCTTCATCGCACATGCCCTCACGTCCCGTTCTCTGGTCCCCTTGCTATCTCTATCCATCTCCTTCCTTCTGTCTTTCGCTCTGTCTGATTATGTCCATCTCTTTCAGTCACTTTTCCGTTTTCTGCTCTTCCACGACCAGCCTGCCCATCCATTCACCTACCTAATTATACCTATTCATCAATCGAGCTCCTCATCATCAATCACCCTAACCCTAACCCTACATGGAATGAGACAGATCCTGCAGGGAGACGCATTTACAGACGAATAGGAGTAGAGAAAGTGAGCCAGAGAGAGAGACACAGAGCGAGAGAGGGGGAGAGAGGAGGGACTTAAGGAGGAACGGAGGAAGGGAGAGGGGGAGGGAAGGAGGGAGGGATAGGGAGGAGAAGTCGGCGTGGGTGAGTGAGTAAGCGCGTGAGTGAGTGAGTGAGTGAGTGCGTGCGTGCGTGCGTGCGTGCGTGCGTGCGTGCGTGCGTGCGTGATTTGAGTAAGCTTGTCTATCGGGGAAGAAAAGGAAAGAGGAAAGGAAAGAGATGGGAGCAAGGTGGGGTGGGTGGTAGAGAAAGAGAGAGCAGGAGAGAGAGAGAGAGAGAGAGCGCGCGAGAGAAAGAGCCCACGCAATTAATACAGGTCATGGTTTTGAAATAATGCGTTTTAATTTATACATTATTTAAATTAGTCATAGGCTCAGATTGCGTGTGCTGTTACTACTAGATCATCAGCCGTCCCCTTCTCCATCACCGTTTACTGTATTTTCTATTAATGTATACTTTGTAGTGTAATCAATATTACAATAGATAATATTGCCAATAAACAAATAGCTACAGTTTCCACTCATTTTGTAGCTATTGAATTATAACGACGAAATTACTGTATATATATTTCAGTCAAAAGAGTAGTTATTTAGACACCTATGGACGTGGTCTGACAGACCCAGTGGGTGCTTTTCTTTTTATAACTGGAAACCTGTATTGTAGGGTCATAGTAAAAAATGGTACATCCTTGTTTTAAACAGTGCAGGACCAAAGACACGGGTTAAACAGGAAGATCTGCTTGCTAATTGCATTTACTTTAAGCATTGGTTGACACCTATGTTTTCATAACCTCAATCTCATTTTTAATGTAGCAAAATATTCCTTCTACTGATATGCCAAGAGTAGGATCTAAACTAGGATTTATTGATTGCAACAATGCGAAAAGCAACCCAAGCACTATCTTTCATATTTCGGACATGATGGCATATCCACATTGTATGTTTAAGGACGGGGATTTTGACAAATGGAGAATAATAGTGGGGGAGAATGTCAAAGTTTTATTTAATTTTCTTGCTTTTTGTTTATAGTTACTACACTGTTTAATCGCAGAATAGATTCAATATATATATATTAATTTTATGGTGGTAGGGATTACACCTCTAGACACTGACAGGATGGATGGTGGCAGGAATGGTACTTTCAGTGATAATATTTTAGGAGAGGGCCCTGACTCTCTCTATATTATATATATATGTATATATATATATATATATATATATATATATATATATATATATATATATATATATTTGTGTTCCTCGCCATACGCGTGTGCATTAATTGTGAATATATATTTACAGTAGAAGTCCAAAAATCAGGATGCCAGAAATCCGGACCACCCGAGAACCTGGACGTTTCGAAAACTCAAACTTTTTAAATTAAACATGATTTCAAGCATTACATGCACTTTTTTGTAGTGAACATTTTTTATGTTTACATTTTTGTCAAGTGTTTTCTAATTTTTCTTTGAAACTGCTCGTTTTAATAAATGAAGCATGCTGTATTTGCTAATGAATAATTAAACTATAAAAATTTACCTGTTCATTTCTTCTTTATGCCTCCTTAAATTTGAATTTTAAAAGTACTGCCTGAGAATCCAAAAAATCTGGAAATCCGGACCGACCCAATCCCCGAGCAATCCGGATTTTCGGACTTCTACTGTATATAGGTTTATTTGATGGTTGTTATAGTGTGGTCGTGTAGCTATAGTCAATTGGTGGATGTAGTTGCCATTTATAGGAAAGAATGTGCTACTGCACTGTTTGCTATGCTCTGTCCTACACAGGGCTTTCTGCATTACTGTCAGCAAACAGCCAGATAGCCAGCAGGTCACCCCTAAAATGATTTCTCGTTTACCATAACCCGAGCGAGCGTTTCGTCGGTGGTGGGTGGCGCAGCTGGGCGGAAACTAATTTTGCACTGCGTAAAGTTTGTGAGATAAATTTCCACGCAGCGTTCGATTGCGCGGACGCTCGGGTTACGATTAGCTACCGACGCCGAAGTGTGTTTTACTGGCATGCACTGCGCACGGCGGTGTTGCACCACTCGCCGAGATGTGGAAACCTTCTGATCGAGCAATCTGTCTACTTGGATCCGAAACAGCGTTCGTGATGTGGCACGTGCATTTAATTAACGCTCGTTGTCCGCAGACGCATGAATATTAATTCGGAATTTTTTTTTTTACTCGGCAATGATAATTGCGAGCCTGTTAATTGTTGCTCCGTAGTATCGCGGCTTTCACCTCGCTGGGTTTGCTTGCTCGCGATGTAAAAGCAGCGAAAAGGCACGGGATTCAATCAGCTTCATCACGGCGTGAGTCCGCCGAACAGTGAATATCATAGGGAAACGTTCGCTTGTTGCAATTGTGATGTACATGCCCCCATGGTGATTGAGTTTTTGGCTAAATTTTCACTTGTCTTGTACTTTGGCAAAAATAAATGAAAATATAACGCTCACTGCGATAATATGACATTTTTCAAGATGCTCACTTGTTTTGTGCCATGACAATAACAAGAGAACATTTTGACATGCGTCTTTTTCGTCGCTTGTCATAGCAAACTGAGCAAACGTGACGCTAACCTCACTGAGACGCTTGCTTGTTTCATCTAATCGCCGCGCGGCTGCCTCCCTCCCTTTTGTCGTTCCCGTGAATCCGCACCCGCTGGCATTGACTCGCTGTCGCTCTCCGTCCGCAGACTGTGTGGTCGTGCAACCTGTGTCGGAAGAAGCAGGAGATCATGGCGAAGACGGGCGGCTGGTACCACGGCCCGGGCGGCAAGCCCGTCTCTCTCGACCTTGACTCGGGCAGCGAGACAGCATCTCAGGCGAGTCGGCCGGACGCGTCGCCGCCCGAGAAGAAGCAGACGCGGCAGCAGAACTCGCAGGCGGACAGCGGCATCGGCTCGGAGCGCGAGAGCACGGGTCGTCCGTCGATCTCGCGCACGGCCAGCCAGAAGGGCCGCGAGCTGAAGCGGCAGTACTCGTCCGAGCGCGCCGAGCTCGACCACGAACTCCGGCGCGGCGCGCCGCCTCCCGACCCCCGCGACCCGCGCGACCTGCGGAGGACGCCGTCGGAGGCGCGGCGGCGCTCGGAGTCGGCCGACCCGGAGCTGCGCTACCGGCACGAGCGCGAGCGCGCGCTCTACGCCGACGAGCAGCGGCGGCACCACAGCGACAGCGCCAGCTCGCACACGGGCGAGCGCTCGCGCCGCGGCTCCGCCGGCGGCGAGCGCGCGCTGCACCGCGACTCTCCCGACCGGCACCACGCGTACGCAGCGGTGGAGCACCGCGCGGAGCAGCGCGAGCGGCGCGCGTCGACCGGCGGCGAGGTGCGCACGTCCGACGTGCTCGAGCGACGCTCGTCGACGCGCGGCGACAAGGACGCCGAGCGCGAGCGTCACCGGGGCAACCGCGAGCCCGAGTACCACGAGAGGCAGCGCAATCACCGCAAGGATGCGGTGGCGGCGGCGTCGTCGGGAGGGGTCGCGGGGATGCTGCGGGACCCGGAGAAGCCCGGTGGCTGCGAGACGCCAACGCGGCACCCGGCGCGCGACATGCGGCCGCGCAACGGCGAGCACAAGGACGCGGGTCGCCGCGGCGACGACGTCGGCGAAGGCCGCAGCTCGGCGACGCTCGAGAGAATGAAGCACGAGGCGGAGCGCGGCGGCGGCGGCGGCGGCAGCGGTGGCGACATCTACCGCGACGAGCGTGGCAGCAGCAAGCGCGAGGATCGGGGGCAGCGCCGCGACCCAGATCGCGATCCCCGGCCGGAGAAATCGCGCTCCCACGACGTGGCCGAGCGGAAACCGTCGCGCGAGTATGACTCGCGTCGCGGGAGCGCGCGGGACGACGTCGCCGGCGGCGAACACGGCGGCGCGGGGGCGCCGTCGCGACAGTCGCTCTCGCGGCAGAACTCGCGCGACTACGACGTGTACGGCGTCGACAAGAGCCCGCCGCTGCTACCGCGGCATCACCTGCGCGAGGACGACCTCGCGGCGACGATGCGCGACCTCGAACCCGCGCCGCCGAAGACGCACCTCGATCCGAGCTCGGCGAGCGCGAAGAGCTACAAGGGCGGCAACAGCACGAGCCGCCGCAAGGTGGAGACAATGCTGCGCAACGACTCGCTCAGCTCCGACCAGTCGGAGTGCGTGCGGCCGCCGCCGCCGAAGCCGCACAAGCACCGCAGCAAGAACAAGCAGCGGCGGCAGCACAGCCTGAGCAGCTCCGACGACGAGATACGCTCGACGCCGGAGTGCACGAGCTGCGACGACGGCGAGATCGAGAGCGAGAGCGTCAGCGAGAAAGGTAGGTGGCGCCGCAGGCACGTCGGCGGTCTGAGCGATCGCGAACGGAGGGAGTTTTGTGGCGGTTTTTTTGTGCTGGTTTCTACTAAAGCTATAGTAATCTATGAATGACAGGGGATAATTGTGTGTGTGTTTCTGTAACTATGGGAATGTCCGATTCCCATCAAAATTGAAAGTGATCTTACTAACTTTGTGATGCTTTCTAATAGAATTGTCTTAAATTATGCACAGTAGGTGGTAAGTACGTGTACGTCTCTATAACTGTCATCGAAATATACGAATCTCTGTCTAATCGAATGCCATCTCATAACGAGGTTTCATGACTCCAACTTGGTAACATTTCTCAATTTGGTTAAGTGTGAGTTAACATGCACGCGATGCTAACGCGCCGCGCCCACTAATCTAGTTTAGCATAAATGTAACTAACGTGTGGCTCGTGGGGGCGGCGAGTCTTTGTCTCGACTAACCTCTCACCCCGCTGTGAGCTCACGCTGATTGTGTCTTAATGCCTGCAGGCGATCCGGAACTGTGGGATGAGCCGTGGAAACGGGATGAAATATTGGCGGCAAAAATTAAAAAGTTCCTAGCGGTGAGCGAACGCGTTGTCTTCCCTGCCCGTCCCTGCAGCGCGGGGACTGTCCCTTCGTCGCGGGGGCCATCCCTTCCTCACGGGGAACTGTCCCTTCCTCGCGGGGACCGTCCCTGCAGTGCGGGGACCGTCCCTGCAGCACGGGGCCCGTCCCTGCCGTGCCGGGGACCTTCCCTTCGTCGTGAGGGCCGTCCCTTCCTCGCCGCACGTGTGAGTTTGAGGCCGCGAGGGGGCGCCATTGTTGCACCTCGAGTCCGTCACACGTCATTGCTGGCAGCCGTTATCGCTGAGTGGTAGCAGATGACGCCGGTGGTTGCTTAGCACAAGGCTGTCCGCCCACTTCCCCACAATCACAAGCGAACGAGTGCCTCGATTTTTCTACCACTTGATTATTCATTGTTAATTGTTGACTAGCATGATCGAGGTTGTTTTTCCCATGTTGTTGTCATGCTTAAATAATTAGTCCTGCCCTTCATTAGACCCGCCTACCAGTCCTTGTATGCTTCATGGAAACCTGCCTTTGTAGGCCATATTCGTCATGGAAACCTAGCTTCACTTCCAGTTTTCTTCATAGAAACGTACAAGCCATGTTCTTCATAGTAACCTTGTACGTGTAGTCTTTGTACCCTGTACTATTCATTGTAACCTTGCCCTTGTAGTCTTTATGCTTTGGCGAAACCTTTCCTTTAAACCTGTATGAATTGAACACCTATCATTGTAACCTGCATTCTTTATGGAAACCTATCCTTGTAACCCATGTTCTGCATGGTAACTTACATGTCTAACCTGTATTCGTCATGTAAACCAAGCCTGGTATCCCACTCGACCCCTTGTACACTCCTCATGGCAGCCTACCCTAGTAATCCGTTAGGGATTCACATATTCTTCACTGAATCTTAGTACTCCAGTAACCCTACAAACACTCCGTGAATTCCGCACAATGGGAAATTCTGCATTATTGTAAACGTAAAACGTGAAAGGGCACAGGAAATTCTCATATCCATATATGCAACTTGCCACAACGAGGCATAGCCATGGCATTCGTGGCATCATCATCTGGCCACCACGTAGAGCGGTTGTCAGGATGACGTGCGGCGGTGAAGTGTGACAATCTCTGCCTCCCCCAACGTGGCCTCTTCCTTCCTGCACGTCGCCTCTTCCTGTTTCAGCCTCCTCTTTCCCTGTAGAAAACACTGCTGTCAACGCCCTGTTTTTGGTTTTGTTCTAGGGGAACTAGATACCTATGAGGATGTGCGTAGAGTAGTGTCGTTAGCAGAGTTGTCAGATGCAAAAAAGAGTATAGTGCGCTTTGGTCGGGGGCGTTCGTTGGAGGACGATAGTGGGAGCTTGTCCGAGCCCCAAATTAAAGACTCTGGCATAGACACGAGCAGCTGTGCAACTCTATGTGAGGAACCGACCAAGGTAATGTTGCCCGAGTGCCCATTAGGTGGCGCTAGCGTCGGAGCACAATTTTGGTGTTGCTCGCTGAGCTCCTTCTATCTCTTCTCGTTTGTTGCTCGCACTATGGCGTAGACCGGCGCCGCATGTTCTCCAATGCCATGCTGCCGGCGTGGAGAACCGGCCGGTGCGCTGGTCTATAGTGGCGCTGTCTCGGCACGATTTTCTTGCAAACCCATCCTTCGCTTGCTGGAGGCGCGTGGCAGCCTCCTTTTTGTGGAGTCGAGTGGGTCAGCTAGCCAGAGCTATGTCCCTCCACGTTTAAGTCGGGTGTGCCCTAGTTGTGGGGAAAAATTCCCTGCAGGTTGCCTATCGTTTAATGCAGGGGTTCTTAACCTGTGGTCCATGGACCCTTTTGTGGATCGGCTTCAGGGGGTCCGTGAACCCCGTTGTATGCAAAATTCTGTGTTTATGCGCATTTTTCTGGGGAGGGGTCCGTAGCTTTCACCAGATTCTCAAAGTGATCCATGACTCAAAAAAGGGTAAGAACCACTGGTATAAAGCGTATCTACCATAGCAACAGCAGCAGCAGCAGGAACCAACGTAGCCACTCCACGGGAATTTCTAGAATTTTGTGGGAAGCCTGTTCGAATATACGTGGGCTGCTGACATGTCGAATTAATAATCGAAACCGGATAAGATTAAGATTAAGGGTGGGATTCGTTTAAAGCTTGCCGCATTAGGCAACACGGTGATCAAGTATGGTGATCCCAAAGATGCCCCCTCCCAAAGATCTTGTGTCGTATTGGCTTTCATGGCTGGCACGCCCTGATCGGTGGTAACGTTCGGTGAGATGCGAACAAGCAGAAGCATGGGTTTGCAGGTATCTGCATGCTACACGGCAGTCGTGGCGCGGCCCACATTTAGTCATTCGAAATCGTAAGGTTCCTACCACACGCTCGCGGGGGGTGGGGCGATGGTTGTTTTCGCCCTCGCCCGTTGTCCGCCGAAAAGTTTCGAAAGCAGGTTGTGTTTCACTCATAGATGTCTGGTTCCCTTTTAACTTCTGACGCTACATTGTACGTGCCGCTTTCCGTGTGATTTGGTATATCTTACTGTATATATTTATATGTATACATATATATATATATATATATTTATATATATATGTGTGTATATGTATATATATATGTATATATTTATATATGAATAATACACTCGTACATACACTCAGATGTTTTCACCAACATCGTCATGGAAGTGTGCTAATGCAATACTGTTTAGTTTTTTTCCTGTATATGTACGTGTGTTGTGTTCACGGGCGTGCGTGTGTTTAGTTTGCACATTTTCCTTCCCACGTTCGTTTACAATTGTTGTTTTTTGCCCGTACAGACTAACGTCGTTATATATCATTGATATTATATATAGTGTTTGCACGTTACCATGGTTACCAGTCGGTGATGGCCAGAGTTTGTGTGAATCCAGGCTCCAATGTGCGCGTTAGTATAATTTTTTCAGTGAGAAAATACACTGAAATTTGTTTAAGAAAGCAGTGTATACCTGCTCTGTGAGGAGCATATCGACTACACACAGAAATGATTAAATGAGGCTTTGTAAGTTCACCTGGCTGCCATGCCTCACGAGAGAATATCATGTGGTACCATTCTGAGATCACATTTCGTACCCCTACGGCTTACACTTTCAACAAACTCTGGATAACGCTGGTGTCTCTGGATTACCTATTTATTGCACCATGTCAAATTGTTAAAAATGGGGGGCGTGTACTTCAACGTGACAATATTTAGAAGCACCTCAAGATATCGCTCCTAGTTTCTAAGATCTCTAAGACATTAGATGCCATTTTTAGTTTAAGATTGTATTCGTGATGGGTGTTACTCTCGTGATTTACATTTCGGTTTGCAAACGATTCATGTGCGCCCATGTGTTGTAACGTTTCCTTTGATATGGTGCGAATCATTGCATTGTGTGACATTGGAATGATTATTATCAGTCTGAATTCTTTGCAATTGAATTCATTCAGTGCATCTTCACTCGCTGATGGTTCTCTTTACTGTTACAGCATCCTGTAACATGGCAACCGAATGCCAATGGTACAAAACTGATAGGCCATATGATATTGAAGAAAACTGTGAAGGACGGTCAAGGTCGCGATTCCAGCGCCATCTTGGGGCTGAAGGTCGTAGGCGGGAAGATGACCGAGTCCGGACGCCTTGGTGCTTTCATTACAAAGGTTAAGAAGGGCAGCATTGCCGACACTGTGGGACATCTCAAGCCTGGTAGGGATACTCTCTGTGTAGACACTTGGTGAAAGGGGGGCATGTCCTGGATCGCACCACTATGAAGAGATCTCGGCCGGCTAATCTTTCACCTAAACCAATTATCACAAACCGGAATGCACCCTCCTTCAGCAGACGTTGCTGCGTGACCCATTCATTGTCAGTTCGCGTCATTTTTCGTGTTTGGCATGAAACAACCAGGGGTAACCGTTGGTGGCGCAACGTGCCAGATTGTAGGTGCTGCTAGGACATTCCTCCCTTAACCCTGTTGTTGTGTGCGGCGTGGACGCGATGTTGTGTGGATGCGATGTTGCATGGATGCGATGTTGCGCGGATGCGATGTTGTGTGGATGCGATGTTGTGTGGATGCGATGTTGTGTGGATGCGATGTTGTGTGGATGCGATGTTGTGTGGATGCGATGTTGTGTGGATGCGATGCTGTGCAGAAGAGTTTGATTGTCGTCCTAAAGTCTCGAAGTGCTCGTATATGATAGGGGGGAATGTGTGCCGCTTGACAGCCAAGGCTATTATGAACGGACTTCCATACACCCGCACGGGAGCAGCCTGGGAAAGCATTTTAGCTGTGGATGACTGCTGAAGAGGTTTGGGGGGCATTGAGACGCGGGCTTTCAGTGGAAGAGGGGGCGTTGGGGAGGGGAGCTTGGGGAGGGTGGGAGAGGAGGGCGGTTGGGGGGAGGCGGGGGATGGAAGAGGGGGCGTCTGGGGGAGGCCTGGGGAAGGGGGAGGGTGTGGAGCGTGGCCAAGCAATGTTTAATTCTAATTGAATCGGCTTTCACCACCGGATGCGCTAACGCTTCCCTCACGGCCGCCGGCAACTTTTCCATCGCTTATATTGGTGATCTCCTCGCGTATATATATTATATATTATATATATATACATATATATATACACAACACATATATATATATATAGTATATAGTTATATATATATATTAT